TTTTAATAAAGAGATATTTTGCCCCCAAAGTACTCTCAAGTTCCAAGTTTTGGTGACCCGGGCCTTGGAAAGTAAATGTACTCTACCCTGCCAACAGCCCTGGGAGAGCAATACAGTGCAAGACCATCTTGAGTCAATGTTCAGAATGAGCAGGAGTCCTTAATCTTGGGCCCATTCATCCCATGCTTTTCTGGTCCCACTGTGGTTTCACTCCCATTACATGGAGAAAATACCTGGCATTTTCTGACATCCCCAAGAAGGGCAAACTTGGCGCTCTTAGCAAGTACCCTGTCAATATGCTCTGAAGTTTTAAAACGTTCAGATCATGGCTGAAGGGACAGGAGCCCGCAGCTATATCCAGAGATCTGACTCAGCCCCAGCTCCTCATGCCAGTCACCTCCACTCTGCCAGGCCACGAACCCTCCTAGCTGTGTTGGTGATTCGGCTATTGCCACCTTTTCAGTTGTGGTCCTGAGGGTGGTGGTCTCAGAGCAAACTTGGTGGATATTAATCCTAGAGAAAACCCTCTCGAAGGACTAGCACCGGAGCCAAGACCGGAGCATTTTCTGGTTGGCTCTTCTCCAGTTAGGGAAAGGAACGAAAGAATGGAGGCATTGGAGACCCACAGAGCCGGGGAGGAAAGTCAGCACCTCCAGTGTTCAGGGGCAGCTCCTGAGCCGCAAGGCCTGCCTCGCACAAACGCAGGAAAACACACCCTGCCTCTCACTGGGTCCTAAATTACGCAGCTCCCTTCCCCTGGCCTTCAGAGCACTTGAATGTGCTCCCACTCCTGCCGTGGACCTTCGCCATCTGTGGGACTTGTTTTGGTTTCTCACTGCTCACACGAAGCATCTTCACAAAGCCTGTGACACAAAGTGTTGTGACACACAAAGTGCTGTGTCCGTGCCGTTTCTGTGAAGCTTCCTCAAGACACGGAGTTACTGGGTTGGCTGGAGAGTAACAGGTAGATCAAGGAGGAGGAGCTCTAAATTCTGGGTGCCCCCCCCTCAGCCATTGGTGCTGCCAGAGAAGGTCCAGGCCCAAAGGGAAGAAATGGATTAGGAGGCACAGGGAGCCCCAAACCAGTGCTTTTCAGGCACCGACCCACAACAGATCCCTCAGAGGTCTCGTTTAAATGCAGGTTTGGATCTAGCAGGGCTGGGGCAGGCCCAAGATTCTGCATTTCTAACAAACTCCTGGTCCGCAGGCCACGCTTCGAGTAGCAAGGGGCAAGACTGAGGAGGGAAAAGTGGAGAAAGAGGTGAAAACAGGGCCCATAGGAGGAGAGGTGAGGGAAAACAAGCTCCAGGAGAGGCGGTCTGCGAGTGCTACGGCTGCACTACCTCTGGTGTCCGAGGCCTCCCTGCAGGGCCTTCTGCGGCAGGGGCCTCGGTGGCCCCCATGAGGGCTACAGTGGGGTGCTCTGGTCCTCTCCCTTCCCCTCTTGTTCCACGGGACTGGAGCACAAAGCCTCCCGGATGCATGCTGGGGGAGGGCCAGGGCCTGGAGACCTTCTCCTTCCCTCCCTTGCCTCGGCTGGGCCCGACTGCCATGCTAGCTCGGGCCCCTAACTCCATGGGACGGCAGATTCTTCAGGTTGGCCCCAGGGATAACAGATGGGTTCACTCCCCTCCTGAGCTTCACCCGAGGACCTACTCCCTGAAGCCAAAGGACTGACCGTCTTCACTTCCTCAAACAGCAGCTTCCATTAACTGAGCACTTACTGGGTGCCAGGCTGTGTGTGAAGCGCCCTCCCACACGGTTTTATTTAATCCTCACATTTACCCTCGCAGGTGGGAACTGGCTCATCCCCACCTTATAAGGAAATTGAAGCTCCAGACTCGATTTGCCCAATGCCTCACAGCTAATAGGACTCTACCCTTCCCAGCCTGGCACTAAACCATAACTGAACTCATGAGGCCAGGGACCTGGGGGATCATGTCTAGGAGAGAAGCCTCGAGATAGGAGTTTTGATGACACAAGACAACTAAGGTGAATTAATTTGGTTTATAACACTTTGAAGGTCAAAACTGACTGTCCCTCGACCAGCTTCCCTCACTGAATCAGTAACAGAAGGCTCTTTTGTGTCAGCCGGCAGGGACACCCCCAGGACCCCGCCGGACGGAACGTGCAGGTGGTTGTGAACTGGGCTCAACGGCCTGAGCAGAGGGTGCCAGGCGGAGACTGGACTCACCAGGTGGCACCAACCAGTCTGAGGAGGAGCCGGCTTGCCAGGCAGCTGACGGGAGGGTCATTTAGGACCATCTGAATTGAATAGCACCAGCCCAACTGTCCACACCTCGAAGGAACATAACAGCATCCTGGGATGGAAATGCACTTTGAACTTTGGTTCTTCATTTAATAAACTGAAGTGCCCCCAAACACTGTGCTGGACTTTGTGGGACCCTAAGACACACTCTTGCCCTTAACAAAAACAATTAGCAGGTTGAGCACACAAGTAGCCAAGCAAAGGTGAGGACTGTGGTGAACTGGAGAATTCTGCTCAGACGAAGCTGCTTTACTACGTTGCTTCAGGTGGTTGTAGCGTCTCAGCACGGAAGAAAAATCTAGTGATTTTTCAAGAAAACCCCCAAATCAAAATGTGAATCCTTCCATTTTTAAAAACAAAATGCAGGCCGACATCTGTGTTCACTAGTTTGCAAACTCTGCTCCTCGCTGACCATGCCCAATTTTTCTTGTTATGCCTTTAGCACCTCACAAAACCTGGCAGAAGGAATCAGTCAATATGTGGCGAGCGCACTGACCAGGGGAAGCTTATCCAGAGGCAACGGGTCTGAATCTCCATCATACATAGAACAGCTGATGCAACCCTGGAGGATTTTTAGTCTTGGGAATGATGAACGAGAGGTCTAACAGTTGTTGCAAGTAAGAAAATCCTTATAAAGCTAGAGCACATGGCTTAGCCAACAGTGGGGGGGGGGGGAGGCTGCTTTTACATAAAATATACATTTAACAATTGACTTAGGTCCCCACTACTATCTATGGCTCTGCCCACCCCCACCCCTTCTTTACTTGCCCGGCCCTTAAAGGTACTTGGGCTTTCATATTTGGTAAGGGGAATTCAGGCTTTGCCTTGAGTCCCAAATGTCCAACCTATTACCTAAGAATATTATCCAACTTGGTGTTTTTGCCAAGGATTAAAATCAAACAGTATGTAATAAAAGTGCTTGGCACATCTGACAAAGGTTTCAAGAAACATTCACCGTTGTTACAAACATTTAGATGTTTTCTATGAATAACCAAAATACACACTTACTGTCAATGCAAAGTTACAGGGAGTCTGATTTTGTCTTAATAAACAATACTTGAGGGGCACCTGGGTGGCTTAGTCAGTCAAACGTCTGACTCTTGACTCAGGTGATCTCAGGGTGTTGAGATCGAGCTCCACGTTGGGCTCCGCGCTGAGCGTGGAGTCGGCTTGAGATTCTCTCTCCCTCTGCCTCCTCCCCTTCCCCTGCTCGCTGTCTCAAAATAAATATATAATATCTTTAAAAACCCAAATAAATAAGGCTTGAATAAACAATCCCACCTGGAATGAGATTATGAGCCTGAATGTTCACATAGAACAGCAAGGGCCATTCGTTAGGGGACATCAGAGGGGAGGATTAGGACTTTTATGGTCTCTGCTCTTGGGACCCTAGGACTACATGCACTGCTTGTAAAACTATATTCTAGTGTAGATTTTTAAAAAGAATGTGGCTGATCTCCATGGATATGGAAAGAAATAGCAAACAGAATAAGTGAAAAAAAGGGAAATTATAGGGGGGATGGGTTAGCCTGGTGGTGGGTATTAAAGAGCGCACATTCTGCATGGGGCACTGGGTGTTATGCACAAACAATGAATCATGGAACACTACATCAAAAACTAATGATGTAATGTATGGTGATTAACATAACAATAAAAAGGGAAATTATAGAAATATACAATGGAAGTCTGAGTTTTAAAAAGGATATGTTTATGTGCTTAGAACACTTCTAGATGGGTGTATAAGAAACTTCACTAGACAACCTTAGAGAATGGGTCGGGGAGCAAATGTTTTTACCTTCTATCGCAAGATGCTTACTTCTTTTTATGGCCTTCAGTTCCATTTTGAGCATTCTCCCCTTACCAGAAGCATCATTACCCTTATAAAAAGGACCAAATAGGGGTGCCTGGGTGGTTCAGTCAGTTAAGCATCTGACTTCAGCCCAGGTCATGATCTCAGGGTCCTGGGATTGAGCCCTGCTCAGGCTCTGCGCTCAGTGGGGAGTCTGCTTCCCCTCTCTCTCTTCTTGCTCGTTCTCTCTCCAATAAATAAAATCTTAAAAAAAAAAAGACCAAATAATTTGGTTTGGCTAAAACCTCCTGGTCTGAGTTTTGCTTTACCAACAGTTCCCATGATAAAGTTTTATAGATCTCTTTACATCTCCAGTGTCAAGACCCAGGAACTTCAATTAGAGTACTGGGCTCCCCAGCCTCGTCTCCCATTACCAAATGCACCTAACTTTGGAGGTTGCTCCAGGTCACCCCCCCCCGCCGTCCCTCATTTCCTGAGTCGTAGGTGTTTTTCTCATATGCACTCACTCTGTGAGTGGTATCATTCAGTTTTTAGATATTGTCCCCATAATGACTCCCTGATTTCTAGCCCTGGCCTAGACTCTCTCCTGAACTCCAGATCCATGCTTTCCAATTGCCTACTCAACAGTTCCATGTGGATGTAGAGTACACATCTACAATTTGACACATCCAAAAGTGAATTCACCTTCCCCAATAAACTTGTTCCACCCACAGCCCTCCAAATGTCAGATGATGGCCCTTCCAGGCTTCTAGTCGCCCACGTCCATAAGCTCATAGTAAGAGGACAACTAAAATGCAGTCTGACCCACAAGGCCAGTTATCTAAAAATGAAGATGGCCCTGGGTACTGGGATCAAAGATCTCATATAATCATTAAAATGTTTTCTGAAATATACTTGAAATTAACTCACTTTAAGTCTAGGTTTAGATTTTGGCATTTTAATTTCTTTTGAATACGTCACTTCGTGCAAGCTAGGAAACAGAATCAAACTAAGGCAGTCTAGTCCATCTAGGGATCCAGGTTGAGTCTTGCAGTCTTCAGCAGAATGACATCATAATGCAAGGTGCTAACCATAGGTTTATAATCTCTAAATAACAATCACTTATCTACATTTTTTCCTTAGGAAACAGCCAAAGTCCAGTCCTTAAAGGCACGATATACAGAACATCTTGATCTACGAAGAACAGAATAACCCAAATTATGCTGGCCAACTTACTGGTGGACCAAATCAAAGCTGACTAAGGATTGGTGAACAGAGGTGTTTACCTTCTGGAAACTTGCTCTGAGATTTAAAAAAGTCCTGGCTGCTGTTAATAAGAAAGCAAGTAAAAAATATTACTGATGCACCCACACTGACATTTGGTTTGCCAAGGTCTTCCACTAGCACACAAAGTGAGAGATGAGTGTAGGGGTAAGATACTTAGATGTTTTCAAGATAAATTACAAGTAATATGAAATTTGACATATTAAATTTTTCCATTTGCTACCAGAACTGACAATGAGGATGATTTAAAAGAAATGCTGAACTCTAAATAGGGTGGCAGCAGTAACACTCTCCACTACAGGGTAACCTCCTGCTTTCCCACACCATTAACACCGCTACTCTTCCAAGATACATATTCGTGTGGAAAAACTTGTCAGCTTTTGCCAGAGCCAGGAGTTGAAAAATAGAACATGTCCTAATTAGTTAATTTGTAATTGTAAGCTCAGTTGACATCTTGAGGATGGCCATTCTTTTGTTTAACATCTCAAACTGCAGAACTCCTTAGCCCTTAGCCAGTTTCTGTTCAATATCTTAAAGCTGGGTCTCAGTCCCATCTGTGACTCTTCTCCTCAGGGTTGAGAGTTGGTGCTAGTCATCAAAATCTGGAATGTCATCGTAGGAGTAACCCCGGTAGCCTTTGGATGCATAGTAGGCGATGCGAAGGTGGTAAAATCCTGGCAGGAACACCAGGATGCCAATGATCAGGACGGGAACAGCCCGGTCTGCCCCCTGGTGGCAGAAGGAGGCAAACACATTAGTACCATACAAATTACCAATTTTTTTTTTTTTTAAAGATTTTATTTATTTATTTGAGAGAGAGAATGAGATAGAGAGAGCATGAGAGGGGGGAGGGTCCGAGGGAGAAGCAGACTCCCTGCTGAGCAGGGAGCCCGATGCGGGACTCGATCCCGGGACTCCAGGATCATGACCTGAGCCGAAGGCAGTTGCTTAACCAACTGAGCCACCCAGGCGCCCACAAATTACCAATTTTAAAATAAAACAAAGCCATAGGTTCAACCCATACATCAGTATTTTACACTCTTCAGAGCATTTCCTTTGGGTAGTATGCTACCAACGGAACAGGTTTACATCTCTTTTCCTCCTGATTATAAAATGTAGAAAAACTAGGGGCGCTTGGGGGGCTCAGTCGTTAAGTGTCTGCCTTCGGCTCAGGTCATGATCCCAGGGTCCTGGGATCGAGCCCCACATCGGGCTCCCTGCTCAGCGGGAAGCCTGCTTCTCCCTCTCCCACTCTCCCTGCTTGTGTTCCTGTTCTTCCTATCTCTCTCTCTCTCAAATAAATAAATAAAATCTTTAAAAAAATGTAGCAAAACTGCAAAGTACTAAAAATTATAAAGTAAATAAATTGTCCACTTTCATCCATAGATATTTCGTTTATTTCCTTCTTTTCTCCATTCTAGTTTCTAGTTGTGAACACACCATACCCTTTGCCTTGTTTTAGTCTCTTAGTGTAACAAGCAACTGCCAAAATATTACGAAAAGTTCTGCACTGGGGGTGGGAGATAGGCAAAATGGGTTAAGATAGTCAGAAGGTACAAACTTTCAGTTACAAAACAAGTAAGTTCTGGAGATGCAATGAACAGCATGGTGACTTAGCTAATAATACTGTATTGTGTATTAGCAAGTTGCTGAGAGCAGATCTTAAAAGTTCTCATCACAAGAAAAAAAATTCTAACTATGTGTGGTGATGGATGTTAACTAGACTTATTGTGATCATTTTGCAATATAGACATACTGAATCATGTTGTACACCTGAAACTAACATGTTATATGCTAACTAATGGTGTCTATCATTCCACTGTAAGGGATGCACCACAGTTTTACTTAACCACCCCCCTACCAACTGTTGGATACTTTGTCTCTCACTTTTTGTAACTGTACAGAATACCACAATAAACTTCATTGTTTTCCTTGGCCTTTCAGATTCCAGTGTATATTCATTCCCATGAGCACAATTCACAGGTCAAAGAGGAAGAAATGGTGTTTAGTGTTTTTATCAATAGGGCTTCAACTATTTGGGGAGTTCCAGGAGGGCAGGGACTTTGTTCATCCCTGGATCCCCAGTTGTGCCCAAAATATAAATGTATTAAATGAATGAATCCACTCATAAAATTGCTCTGGCTTGTTTTTAGGTATAGTTTTAAATGTTTATACAGTTAAATTTATCCTCCTTTTCCTTTGTGATTTTTCCCATTAATTTTACGCTTTCCCTCATTTAAGGTAAACCCAATCTAAAAATCTCATTTTTTTCAAAGATTTTATTTATTTGTCAGAGAGAGAGAGAGAGCGCATGTGTGCACAAGCAGGGGGAATGGCAGGCTGAGGGAGAAGCAGGCTCCCTGCTGAGCAGGGAGCCCAATGTAGGCTTATGTAATGCAATGGTTCTCAAAATGTGGTTGACGGACCACCAGCATTACCTGGGAACTTGTCAGAAATGCAGATTCTCACCACCCACCTATAGAACTGGAATCTCTGGGAATGGAACCAAGGAATCTGTGTTAACAAGCCTGCCAGATGATTCTGATTAACATCGAAGTTTCAAAACCAATCTGCCATAACAAATACACAGCACCTATGAAATATTCTTTCTAAAACAAAACTAAACCTGAATCTAAGTAAGTCTCTAAATCTAACAAAAATATGAAGTCAAGGTCAAAGATATTAATACAGCACCTGTAAACTTCTATGTAAAAACTGTTACAGATGCATACTGAAGATGCTACTTGAGAATACCAGCAAAATAGAGGTGCCTGGGTGGCTCAGTCAGTTAAGCATCAGACTCTTGATTTCGACTCAGGACATGAGCTCAGGGTTGTGAGACTGGGCTCCATGCTGGGTATGGAGCCTGCTTAAGATTCTCTCTCTCTCCTCTCCCTCTGCCCTCCACCACTCTCATGCACTCTCTCTCTCAAAAAAAAAACAAAAACAAAAAGAATACCAGCAAAATGTAAATCTGGTATTTGGTTTCATACACAGGAAAAAAAGATGGGGGATTACATGAAGCAAAATGTTTATAACTGTTGATGATGAGTGGTAGACACACAGGGGTTTAAATCATTATTTCATTTACTTCTGTTTTGTTTGAAATATCTGTAATAAAAGTGAAAAAACTCCAAACCGAGAAAACAAAACTTATTAGTGATTCTCTTAACATCTTTATTTATAAAGCAGTCTTTTATAAACCACACAAGGTAAAATGATATTTGCTGCATGTGGATGTCACGTCCACTCTCAATAGTCATAATATCATTGACAGAGTCCTCTGGGATTGATACTGCATACTGCATATTGCAATGAAAGTTAACTGAAGGCACGGTCCTGAAGCTAGATGTTCAAACACAGATTGCACCAAGTAAACACCTGGTGACCATATATTAATTTTAAATAGATAAGAAACAAAGACAAATCAGATTCACTTCTTAAAAACCATATGCAGCCATTTTATTGCAACAGTGCTACTATTCCCAATTTCTATAGTGTCCAGTTTTTCAGATGTTGGCTGTGTTCCCTCTGCAGAACAATATGACCATCATCGTGTGGCCTGGTGTGTGTTGAAGAACAGACATGACTTGTGATCATTATTAGTTCAGATCAACTTGGGCACTGTCTATTAGTGTATGTATATAGCCCGAGAAAAAGAACCACCCAACACTTTAGGTTTTGAAGATAACACTCGGAAACATAACAAGAACTCCAACCAAACCCAATGTAAGAAGGATCAGACTCATGCATCACAAGTCCTGGTTTGGTCAGTGGCCCCAGACCTATAGAAGCCTCACTGTTTCTCCCCAAACCTGGAATGTCTGTGGCACTGCAAAACTGCAACAACACATTCTACTCCAGGTACAGCCGTTATCAATCAGGAATCCTCAATACAAGGCTCAGCTTTGCTGTTCTAAACTATGACAGTGGGAAGATTGCTCAACATCTCAGAGGGAAAATGCGCCTACCTGCCCCCACACACCTCACAGAAACTGTGGGACATGCATGTTCTTGCTCAAAAAAAGAAACATATGCTTTGTTATCAGAGAACAAAATCTGAAAGAAAACTCTTTTCTTCTTTCTGCTGGCAAATCCTGTACTAGATATGAATATAAAACAACAGAGCCCAGACTCACACTTTAAAGATTTGATGGCACAGTCCCACAAACCCTTCAACTTACCCCTTTGCTGATATAGCCAGCTAGCAGAAGGGAGCCTATGATTATGAGAAAGGCACCAATCAAAAACAGCACTGTAGCAAGCGCAATGGCTTTATATGGGATCTTAGGAGGGCTCTTCTTAAACTGGAAGAGAAATAAACAAAAAAGGCACATTTTGAAAATACCAGGACTGAGACACTTTAAAGCAAGGAGGATAATAAGAACCAAGGTGGATGCTTTGTATGTCTTGAAGGAAGTCCTACTACCCACTAGAGCTCTGGGAGAGAAAGGCAAGGGACAAACAGGAAGTGAAGCTCTAGTTATTGCTCTAACAATCACTCAGAAGAGTTCCAGCAGAATGTTACTCTTTCTACTTCTAATCTCATTCCACATACCATTCACCATAAGAAATATTTTCTTACAAAAACAAAAGACACTTGAACGGTCATTCATTGATTGAACATGTATTTATTAAGTGCTTGGCACATGGAATGTTGTATTAATCTATAGGGATTCAAGAGTGAATATCATGGTCTGGAGAATTAAACAAAACTAGTGATTTCTGGCATTCAAAGTTAAGTTAGCATACAGTCAAAGATTTTAGAAACAGCTTTTTCTAAAGCACTAGTTGCCCACCCCATGGATCAAGTAACCTAACTTGTTAATAAGCTCAATTCAGTTAAGAATCAGAGACAAGCTTTCTAAGGTTTGCCTCATTTCTGTATCTGACCTAACTGGCTGGAAGCTTCCCAGATGTCCTTTCAAAAAGAAAAAAAAAAACCAAAAAACTTCTCTCCTTCAAGTATGGGTCCAAAGAGTGCAGAGTCATTGATTTGTTTATATTTAAAGGGATGGGTTCCTGCCTCTTCCTCCTTAGCCCTGGTTCCACCTAAACTATTCTAAGGGGAAGTGGTCAAAAGGAGATGCTGCTACACATTAAGTATTTTATAAATAATGAATCAGGGTAGAATACAAACTTAACAAATATTCTGTTTTACTTACTGTTTGCCACAAAGAATACCTTTAATAAACTGGATCTCATGACATCAGGAAAGAAGGAAGATTCCCACAATCTGCTGGCTTTAGCAGCTAGTTTCTCCCTTAAAAGATGAACTGGCTTTGACTAAAGTGTAAACGAACCAATGACACAGTCCTTAAAAAAATTCTACTTAACAAAACACAATCTGAGTATTTTCCAGAAAAAACTAAATAAAATACGTAACTACTGGGCTCTGGCATTACAACTAAAAATTCTTAGAAATGAACAATATTTTATGTTTGTTTGAAACTGCTCTACCAAGGCCCCTCCTTCTGCAAACTATGGTTGAAAGGGTCTCAGAGATGAGTTTCCTTCCTGCTGCTCCTTCTAATCCCCATGGACAGTTAGCAAATCCTCCACCTGGAAGGTCTTCCTGCTAACTCAACAGAAACAGAGCCAGCCAGTCTCATCAGCTCCCTGCCGCATTTACCTGAAGGTCAATGTAGCCATCGTCTGTGCTGGAAAGCCTTGAGTATTTCACTTTACTACTGGGGATTCCAGTAGCCAGGTTGGTACGAGACGGCATCATAACACACTGACACAGCTATAGTCTGAAGACAAAGAAAACTGTCATTGTATGCAAGTGACAACAGTGTGTTACATATACTGGGAGTTTTGGGCTGAGATGTCATACTAAGCAACTGCCAATTTACACTCCATTGCACTTAAAAATCTGATATTCCTTTGACAAAGTGAAAACATTCTCATATATCTACTCTGGCTTGTCCTGGTACAACGAGAGTCAAGACATTTGCCAAGAAACAGACCTCATGTTTATCTTGTCACCAATATTCCTAGGCCTCCTAATTTTTCCAAAGCCTCACACAGAGCAGGTGAAGAGTGGTGACTTAAATCTGAGTGTGACACCTAAGTCCACATTTTCAGTCATTCTGCTATAGTACTGCCTGGTCCCTGTCCCTGTTTCAGGAAAAAGCAAGAAGAGCATATGCTCAAATGATTCTCTTACTTGCCAGGGAGGGAGAATGGGTAGGATATGGAATACAGTCACATCAGCATTTTGTTGATCCCCCTTAATGGGTATCATCCTTTTAATGCAAAAAATCTGTAGAGCTTCCCGTAAATTTGGCTATCAGCACTATTAGTACTGGTAATCAGCACTGTACCAGTGCCAATTTGCCTGCCTCTCTGCCCCACCCCAAGCACTGAAAGTAGTGATTTCATTTTCCAGATTACTTCTATAGCTTCCTAAAAAAATAAAATAAAAATCTGGTTTTTGTTCAAAATATTCAAAACCAACTTCAGTAATGAAATCATGGCTATTTTGTCACTAGTTCAAGAGACAGTAGATAAGATTAAAAAACAATGACATTTAAATGGGGGAAATATTTGTAATTTGTGCACTTTTCCACCATAAAATCACAAAGTTATATGAATAAAACAAGTAAATATTTTGTGAAGCTAATTCTAAAGGTGAAGTGGATCTGTAAAAAGAGAAAATTAAGTATTTCGCAATAAGGACTACATTAAAAAAAAACAACCAGAAACCATAAAGACTTTGCCTTCCTCTGGTATGATACTTTGTAAATAACCATCATCATTATAATAATGTCAGTTAATAATTACCCAGTGTTGGTTAGATACCAGGTACTACTCTAAGTGCTTTCTAGATACTTTATCCCAATTATCAATGAGCCGTTTTAAGCGGCCCGCAGTCAACCTAAAATAACTAGCATTATGATGGAATTGGTGCTAAATGCAAATGTCCCTTTTTATATTATATACTGGTGCAGCAATTATATACCAGTGCAGAAATCAAGTACTGAATCCAGAATGCTAATCTATATGCTTTTCTGGTTAGCTCAAACTGCATCAAATACTAGGTTTTTAAGTGTTGCGATCCCGATTACATGATAACCTAAATTTAATTCTACAAAATTTAAAGTCCAAACTACCGGTATGTGGGGGTTTTGAGGGCATTTAATCACCTCTGATTTGTATCGTCTTTTTTAAAAAAGTTTACATACTCTGCCATTACCTATTCATACACCCGTATCAAAACAAAAAACCGCAGGGTGTGAGGGAAAGGGGAGACGAATGCTTACTGGCGGCAAAGAGTAAGAATTCTGCAAGAGGAAGTAAAAACGTAAACCGAGGTTTTCAGAGTACCAGTCCAAGTTCCCAAAAGGCTTTGCTTTTTTTTTTTTTTTTTTTTTTACCGGTTCCACCACAACCCCCAAACTCCCTAAACACGCGAGGGTTGCAAGACTTTAAAAGCATCAGTAAAGCATTCAGCGCAGTTCCTGGCATTATGCGCCTCCACACACACTACCTTCCTGCCCGTCTCCAAGCCTAGCCAGGAAGACAAATAAAAACCGACGCGAATTTAGACGGAAACAAACAAAACCGGTTTCTGGGAAGAGGCCAGCGGTGGCCCGGGCTGGCGAACGCTCTACACCCTGGACGCGAAGTAGATTTCGGCAGGGAGCGCAGTCTCGGCCCCGCCGGGCGCCTGAGGGGGGCGCTTCTGTTCCCGCCCCGCCGCACACACGCCTTACCGGAGCGCGCGCGCCGACAGCTCGCTCACAGTTGGCAGCAGAGGCGCCTGAGGCCTCATGGCACGCCTCACCTAACGGCCACCCCGCCCCACCCGCCTACCTCCGCGCCGGAAGTGGCACGCCGAACGGCGGCGCGCCGGAAGTGGCGTCACCGGGAGCGACGTCCTCTCATTCCATTGTTCGCAACTTCCTGTTTTAGTCCTGCGCTAGTGGGAGCATCCTGCGGGAGGCATCGGGGGCTCTCGGGAGGCGCCGGCGGAGTCCCGCCCTGTGGGGTTGCGGGAGTCGCTGCCAGTCACCTCCGCTGGGTTGTGTAGGTGCCTTGGGTGACCGGCCGCCTGGGTCACAGTCAGACTCCGGGTAAACCGGCTACTTTTTCCTTTCCCTGATCCCTCCGGCAGTGTTGGGAGTTCAGTGGCACCCACGGGAGACGGAAGCTAAGACAGTGAAGCTGTGGATGACCGGAACTGCCGGGTCTCCTAGTCACTGCTCAGGGCTGTAGGCCTTTCCCGCAGGAGCGCCGCGGTCTCTGCTGCTGGTCAGTACCCCACCACTACTCTCGAGTGGCCCCACATTCTTGTGCTTCGGTTTCCCTCCCCACCGTCAGGCCTGACCCAGGTAAGAGGCCTGCCCACAAGGGACATTTTGCAGCACATGAAGCTTTGTAAATGTCAGATTTATTGAAGTATAATTTACATACAATAAAGTACAATTGGATGAGTTTGACAAGTGTATACAGTCTTGGAACCATCACCAGTCTATATTGTTACATCTTTCCCAAAACTTCCGTTAGGCCCCTTTGCAGCCAATATCCTTCCCCACCTCCAGGCACACAGAAGGTAATGAACCTACTGGGTACAGGGAGTTCTACCGTCCAGTAACTAGAACTCGGTCCAGATACTACAAAAAGAAACCAGTCATTTAAACCACCAAGCACAAAATAAACCGGGATAAAGGACTTTAATGAAGCAATTCTCAATATGTACTATGCCAGCTTGTGGCTTTGTGGCATAGTTAGTAGGAACATTTAAACAGTCCGTTTCACAACTGCTAGGATTAAGTCCCCAAAAAAGGCTACTTATATTAGAAAAATTATTTTTGCACATATTGCTTGGACCCTATCACAGATCTACTAAATCTTTCAAGATTCTTCTAAAAGGCTCCCTAGGCTAAAGAAACACTGCCCTATAGCAATGCTAGTCTTCTAAAGCCCACACAGCTTTGGGTACATAAAGCTTCTGAAAAAGAGTGTTAGTTTTTGCTAACAAATTGACAAAATAACAATATATATAGGACTTGGTCTACCCTCCTGTTCATTTCTTGAACTCAAGTTAGAAGAATACCAAAATAAGTTTGACAAATGAATCCCCAAAAATATCATCACCTACTGTATTTGGAATACTTTTTATTGCTATATCTAATGTATTTTTATCAGGCTGCTCTAGACTGGAAAAATAAGCACATTTACATGAAATGGTAGCTTGAACTGAACTCCCTAGGATACTTGCAACAGTCATGGTCCAAATGAAGGCACTGTCTTGTGATGTTTGCAATTCAAGTAACTTTTATTTAAATTGAAAAAAATTCTTAAAACTGTATTTAAGAGTCAAAACCTTTTTGTTATGAAAATCACAAGTATTTTTGGGCAAGGCAGAAATATTCCTAGGTTAACAAGACCAGATTTGACTTTGGACTTTATTCTTTAAACAAATTGTAAAGAATGAAGGAAAAAATAGGTTATTTACAGAAGATATCTACATATGTATTCAGAGGTACAAATTTGGTGACAGACTCAAGTACATGCTGGCATCTCAGAAGCAGTTCTTAAAGAGCTTAACTTTCTTTTCTTGGATTTTAAGAATACCTAAGATCCTTCTTCATCCTCGATCTTGGGAGCCAAGTAGTACTTTAAATGTCCCATGTCAGCAATTTTATACTCTACAACTGAAAGACAGGAACATAATTCATTATTGAGAAGTCCACTATACCATCTACAAAACAAGACTCAACAAACCAATTATCTTACCAAGGGGTACATCTGCAGACATACTGAGTGTTACTGTAGGAGAGAGCGGAGTGGCTTTTGTAAAGAAGTTCAGGTATCTCAGTGCAAAAGTTAGCTGAACTGGCTCATTCATCTCTATGGTAACCTGAGACAAAACAAAAGATTAATCATATTGAAAAACATCAAGAAAGTTGCAACTCATTAGTTTAGAATATATTTAAAGATTTATTTATCAGAGATAGCGCATGGGTGCACGCAAGACGGGGAGGTAGAGAAGAGAATCTTCAGACTCCAGGCTGTGTGTGGAGCCCAAGCAGGGCTCATTCCATGAGATCATGACCTTAGCCAAAACCAAGAGTCAGACGCTTAACTGATTGAGCCACCCAGGCACCCCTAGAATATACGTTTAAAAACAAAACCAAAAAACCCTTTATTGCTTACTTTGGAGAGTGATATGAAACTAACTTTGAGGACTGGTAAATCAAAAGAATCAAGTATTTAGGGAGGGAAAAATGAAACAAGATGAAACCAGAGAGGGAGACAAACCATAAGAGACTCTTAATCTCAGGAAACAAACTGAGGGTTG